TGGCAGCGCTGTGCAAGAGAAGGCGTCTTTTGTCTTTGGACGACTATCGAGTGTTAGGAGTGCAGCCACTTAACCACTGTGTTTCTCGTCCCACATGGCGGCCGATTCGTTTGCCGGATGAAGTAGGCTGCCACTAAGAGTGAGACAGAACCGTCGACAACCCACTACGAGACATTCCAGAAGCGGTTTTAGGAAGTCATGCTCGCCTACAACATTTTCGAGCTCGTCGCCGACACTTCATCCAGTCAAGGCTCGACGGAGGGCGACAATGGAGTTGAGGCCACGGGGACTGGCGTCAGAAGCGGCGCGGGGGGCGGGGAGGAAGGCGAACAAACCTCTGACGGAGAAGATGGGGATGTTGGGGGCGGAGAGGACGGAGACTTCGGAGACGGAGAGGGAGACATGGATGAAGAGGGTGCGGGTGATGAGGGAGGAAACGGCGAAGATTACGACACCACCCCGCGGACCGGAAATGTAAAGGGGAAGCGGAAGGGGAAGCAGAACGGGAAGGAGAAGGCCAAAGGACAGGAGAAAGACATCGAAGGCACGGTGGTGAAGACCAGGCAAGCGAGTCGGCGCAAGTCCACCGGTCACGGAGGGCTGCTGTTGACGCCGGCGACTGTTGAAGACGTGGAGGAGTGCATGTGAGTAGCCAAGTAAATAATTACAAACACGGGGCGGGTGCGGGGGGGTCTGTGGTGGCGTCGCTCTCGGTGCTTTCTTCACCGTGAACGTGGGTGTCGATCTGACCCTTGTCTTTTGTGTACCGTCTCTCCTTTCTCCCGCGGTAGTCTTGCCTGTATCTGCGACCCTGCATCAAACATTAGGTGTTGAATCTGTGTCTTGACGCCGTGCCACTCTCCCGTCAAGAATCCTTGTTTCGACATGGGCATGCTCGATGTTCGTATGACCCGGCAACACCAGCCTTACACCAACATTCTCCACCGCATTCCAAGGGCGCAAAACTTCGTCGTGCACGAGGAGTACAGCCTGCTCGATATGGATCGCGATGAGCAGGCTGCCATCGACCTCCGCAGACGGGCCAAGTTGGTCTTGCTCAACGTCGGCGCATTCCAGGGGTGTAAGGCCGACGACGACAGGCTCGCAGACCTCATCTACAATGTCCGGCACAGCATGATATGCCCGCGGGGAACCATGGCNATCTGTGGTGGCGTCGCTCTCGGTGCTTTCTTCACCGTGAACGTGGGTGTCGATCTGACCCTTGTCTTTTGTGTACCGTCTCTCCTTTCTCCCGCGGTAGTCTTGCCTGTATCTGCGACCCTGCATCAAACATTAGGTGTTGAATCTGTGTCTTGACGCCGTGCCACTCTCCCGTCAAGAATCCTTGTTGCGACATGGGCATGCTCGATGTTCGTATGACCCGGCAACACCAGCCTTACACCAACATTCTCCACCGCATTCCAAGGGCGCAAAACTTCGTCGTGCACGAGGAGTACAGCCTGCTCGATATGGATCGCGATGAGCAGGCTGCCATCGACCTCCGCAGACGGGCCAAGTTGGTCTTGCTCAACGTCGGCGCATTCCAGGGGTGTAAGGCCGACGACGACAGGCTCGCAGACCTCATCTACAATGTCCGGCACAGCATGATATGCCCGCGGGGAACCATGGCTTTCCTGGTCCCCCATCCGTGGTTCGAGAATGGACACCACCTGCAAGGTGAACCCGCAGACTTGAATAACCTACCCAAGTGATTGGTCGAGTGCGCAATCTCGAGCGCGTGACAACGTGCAGGTCGTGTTCATAATCCCTTCACGTGTCCCTCACATTGACAAGTCTGATGCGCTTGCAGAAGAGATAGGGTAGGGAAACCACTCACACCTCTCCGAGACGCAGATCGCGAGTGCGTCGCGAGTTGTCAGCTGGCAATATTTACCTTGAGTTCCTCGGCGTAATTTGTTGGCTACTGATTGCATGGGTTGCTCCACGCAGATACCACCGTCATACCGGTGGGTTAACGGCGCGCCTGGAATTTTCAATCGCGCATCTCTGTCCCTGCAGCCGCACTCACAGCTAAGGGCATGCGCGTGGTTATCGAGGAGAACATGCTGACTCTGGTGTACTCCTCTACTGGAGCAGGACGCCCTGCGTCCGCCGCCAACGGTCATCTGAAGTTTAGCCAGGACGCGGTCATGCTCGTACATCTGACCTCTTTTTCATCCAGCAACTCGCCGACGGATGGTTTCACTGTGAACGAGAAAGTNCAAGTCTAGCTAGGACGCGGTGATGCTCGTACATCTGACCTCTTTTTCATCCAGCAACTCGCCGACGGATGGTTTCACTGTGAACGAGAAAGTGACGACGGACGACCTGTACGGGAACAGCACGGCGGCCAGTGTAACATCCAAGTGTTCGTCGATCCTCACCGACATCCAACACCCCGGGAAAGGCGTGGACTGGCCAACCAAGGCTTTGGTGTTCCTCGTGAACAGGTGACATTTCATATCGTCGTTGGATGTTATTATGTATCCTGTGTACGTCTTCAACCCATATGTATTATTAGTGTCCTCTCGTCGTCGGCAGCCAAACCCGACATGATAGGGAGGACATCGAGCGAGAGATGCTTTCCAATACATGACAGCGTGACTTACTTGCCGAGTCACCGATTTATGTGGTCAAGTGGTGCACTTAATGATGTGCGCGGTGGTATGTGGTCTATGTTTGACACGTCTTTAGAAGGAAAAAGCATGGAGTTTGCGTTTGAACGTGAACTTTTAAGCCTTCATCCGCGGCAACGGGGAGATCGAACTGGCCGACACTCTAGCCACTTATTATTAATGGCGTCAGTGCAGGATACTTTCGGAGATGCGCTTCTTCTCGGTAACCCGGCCCCACAAAAGTGACCAGCGTAATGCCGCCTTATGCCGCAGATACTCGCGTCAAGGCGACACCGTCTTACTATTCGGCGCGGAACACAACACCGGAGTGGAAACTGCTATTTCACGCGGTCGGAAGGTTGAGGCCTTCGTCGCATCGCCTGAGGCGGCGGCNCGCCTTCGTCGCATCGCCTGAGGCGGCGGCGAAAGTGGAGGCTTGGACCGAGATCGCATTCCAAACGGCGTATGCGCAGGGGATTTTTAAGGTGCGCCCCGGGTAGAAATTTCTTCGTGGTCTCACGTCCGTATGCGAGGGGAGATTGGCCGATGGTTATATTTAGCGCCCCGTACCAACACATCACGGAGCTTATGCACCATACTTCCATATACCCGAACATCATGTTGCTTTTCTTTTTGTTTCTTTCTTGCAGTCCACGGAGGCTGTCACGTCGCAAGTTACAATCTCCAGAGAGCGCCTCCCTTGTGCCATCCCGAGGGGAAATGTTCCGCCGGGCATACAGACGGCCTGTACCGAGGCCGTTGACGAGAGCCCGGAACTGTCGGATAAGGACATCAACCTGGGCGTTGCGCAAGCTACGGCAGCTAAGATGGGCTGGGCGATCGAGGTACTTTGACATTTATAGCATACCGACATTAGAGGATCGTGCCGCGAGACGAGTTGCCGGGCACGCGCGTGACTTCCACCACGCCGGTGTGTTATCCACTCCCAATTCCGCGAAAGTGTTTACCTTCCGCACTTGGCACACGTTCGAGGATAGTAGTACCAGCCGGTCCTCCAACCACACGCTCTCGTGGTGTAGACGATTCACCTTTTAGGACAATGTTGCCTTCCAACCGGCAATGCGGGAAGGCAATTTTTGTCGTGGTGCACGACCGACATAAACACTGAGTCCGTCACACAGCAGACACATAAAAAAAAACACACACACACACACACACACGTCTAGATCTACCCTCCTTACTGCTGCTTTTTCAACGAATGGTGGTCTTGGCGAAGGCACCAATCGAGTCATCGTTGCCATCGCCAACCACTTGGCGCACGAAGCCTTTGCCGGGGGAATTTAGACGACGAAAGATCCTTAGTTCGCCTGGAAGC